CTGCCTTTGCTCACGCCTTTACCTGAGCATGAAGCTAGTTGGATTGGTTGGATTGGTTGGATTGGTTGATTGGTTGAATCCAGAGACATTCCGACATCATCATAGAACTTGAAGATTCAATGAAACGCCTGTTAGTTGGAGTTTACCACATCCCCAGTATCCCAGCATCCAAAAGCTCATTTGCACTCCGAAATATTGGTTGTATTTTTTAAGATCCTGAGCCAACAGGACAGAGTCCCTAAAGATTGTAGACAAAGATTGTAGACAGCCTCAAACAGAGTGTTAATGATCCTGGGGGCCACTGGGGTTGTCACAACCGATTCTGGTTGCAAGGCCATCTGGATGACAGGCCATCTGGTTGGTCAAGGCCGCCCCAGTTGGTTCGATTCAACGTTAACACCTTTTTACTTGGCTTATAGGTGTAAAGCTGGAGAACCCTATTCATAAGTGATACATAGTGATGCCAGTAATTCCTTGGCCGTTTGGTATCTTCCTGAGCTATAAGAATTGGTCTGGAATGCAGATCCAAAATGGATCACAACTCACAACTTCCGTCCCAGCAGCGGGCTGTTCTCCAGGGTTGGGGCCGGAGTGGTGAAGAATTGTTTGCCTTTGTAGAGCTTTAAGTGTTTATGTCCACAATTTGTTTAGATACCCGTCATATTAAAACAGCAGCAGGGCTATGAATCTTAGGAAGCACCTGTGTTTGAGAGCGTTCTTACAATTTGAATAAACCCACTATATCACCGACTGGCTGGGGGGTCAACATTCCTTCCACTGACCTTCGATCAAGAAATAATAGGGAATTCGGCGAATCCAGATTGATGTGGGATTCACAATGATCCACAAAAATACTTACCTTCCCCAATGGTTTATGAGATCATTTATACCGGGATGCATAGTCCCCTCATGCACCCACGCTCATCATTAATTAAGGATACTGGATACTTGACTAATGTTTCACATGGTTAAACCGCCATAAACCGCCTATGTTCCCGCAATTGGATGCTTGAGTCCCATTTTTTCGTCCCGTAGTTTGATGGTTCTCAATGTCTCAACCACCTCGGCTATCGGACCAACCATCCCTCCAGGCCCAGCTACCGCCCATGCCCCGTGTCAGCCGCCCACGAATGGCTGCCACACAGGTCGCCGCTGGCCACGTGCCACGCGGCAAGCGCAGCCAGCGCAGCCCCCTATTTCCCGTGGGGTGGGACAGCAGTGGAGGGATCAATGGCGCAGCAAGCACCAAGGGCCGAGACATGCGAGGAAGTGGTGCTTCAGTATTCCTGCTAATGTTCAGGTGAATTTCATACATGTTGATAGTCTAAGTGTTGTTCTGAAAGCTTGCAGATTTTGAATTCATTCATTGGGTCTTATATATAATTATATACAAATACTGTCTGGTTGGTGGTGCAATAACCATCTTGAAAAATATGAGAGTCAATGGGAAGAATGACATCCCATATATGATGGAAAATAATCCATTCATCTCTGAAACCACCAACCAGATAAATACTGTTTTTATGGTCTTGATAATTCTTGTTTTTTTTGGTCAGATGGAGGTAGGGCAGCTCGTGGTGGACCACCTGGATGACCACTGGACAACTCGTAGCCTTCAGTCGGCCATTGGACAATGGCAGGGTTCGGACCCTCCGGATCCGAAACTCAAACAGACCAGCATGATTTTCCATCTTGGGCTCTTAAACTAATGAGTGATCAGCTTGGAATTAAAATTTGCCCAGCTTCAAGGCAAAAAGTTACTGCAGGGCAACAGTTGAACAAAACCAAGTGCGCAATCTGCACATCTGGTTGCACGCACTTGCCAATTTTGACAGTGCATCACCAGTGCGGAGCGCACTGGCAATCTACTGAACCTAGAGTCATAGACTCCCGGAATCTCTCGGAATCTCCCGGTCTACCCTCTGGTAAAGGTTTACATAACTATGGAAAATCACCACCTTCAATGGGTAAATCAACTATAAATTGCCATTTTCAATACAGTAGCTTTTTGTATGTTTACAAGGCCGGGTACATGAAAAGCAAACGGCTCAGCCCGCTCTTTGGCAACGGCTCAACTGCGTCGTGGCTGCATCATGGCGCTGCTACGGTGCCACCGGGAACTCGGACCAGATTAATGGGATCCTTGGTGGACAGGCTGGACATACCGATAGCCGCCTGCAACTTTGCATGGATATGGAAGGTCGGGCATGATTCTGCAACATTTATTTTTGTTATCTTGGTGACTTCCCGCAAACTGACCAATAAATATCATAAAATGGGATTAGATTATATGGAGGCTTCCGAAAATGGGGGGTACCTCACGTCACCATGGCTTTCAAACTCCTGCAATGGGCATTTTTTGATGACTTGGCTTATTTAGGCTACCCCTATGACTTGGGAAACCTCCATAAAGATTCTCACCTTGTTCCGGCACCCAGCGTCCCAGGGAAGCCATGTTGTTCTCCAGGAAGATTCAAGGCGGTCTCTGCGAACTCCTCCGCAATCAGACAGCTAAGGCCTGGCACAAGGTCGACAGGGCTAGCAGGATAAACACCATTCTTGCAAGATGGGGTCACTCACCTAGATAGTTAGCTTGGGGTATACCTCATATGAAAATACAATCACTATAGATTACTATAGGGTTTATGGCAGATAAATATCTAGTTAAGTTCACTCTGGGGGGACCGGCAAATTCACTTTCCAGCCGGCTCTTTGACGCTGCAAATTTTCTGTCTGAAACTGTTAAAAAAGATCCAATGAAATCCCCATAAATCGTTTTGGTGAACATTCAAGACTCCAAACCTTTTAGACCCTGGACCTTTGGATATTGAATATTTTTAGTACAAAAGATCCACAGTTCACCTTCCAGTAAATTACAGATGTGAAATACCCACCACGAATGCAAATGATGAATGTCGTTTTAGGGGAACACATGTTGCCTATCCATGTCTATGGTTCTTGTCCGTAAGACGTTTCAATTCACATTGTTGAAATTAAATCGCAATTTACCAGCCACTCACCAATCATACACACCAAACATGGGGTTTACTGTAAGTTTGGGATTGGATGACCATCCCATTCCTCTCACTTCGATGAATCATCATTTTCAGGTTGTGATTTCGTGAGCTGAGTTGCAAATACTTCTGCACAAAAATCCATGGGAGAATGCAAAAAAAAAACAATTTTAAAAGCAACTGAAATCAAGATTTCGTATCGGAGGTGCACCTGTGTTCTCAATAGCCAAAAGCCATGGTCTGGGCGTAAGCGCCACAGTTTTGGCCGTTCTTAGGCCATAAACCAAGCTGGAGAATACGCCGTTTACATCCCGAACAGTTCCGAGCGCGAATCTAGGCGTGGTACGGTACGCCTCATGATGATGTTCAGGCTGAAGATTTGCAGCACCCGCATCTCTGGTTTGGTATCCCCATAAATTAGGACTATAAAATGGGTTATCATGAATAAACCGGTTAATTTGTTGGACTAATTGGCAGTTTCCCTACTAGTTGGTATCAGTCCCAACACTAGTCGGGTATCCGGTATCCCGTGAAACTATACTATTACAGTAGATACACATATATTATCATTAGAAAATACAATTAGATATACCATTTAATATACCATCACATATATATATACCATCACCATTGTTCATCTATTAAATATAATCCCATCAATGGTACATCTAATTACAAATGGTATAGATTCATAATGTTTAGATAAACCACATATCCACATACCATTAACACTAAGATAGGTAGATATATAGGAATCCCATATACTATAATTATACCATATCAGCGTAGATGTATATATATATATATTATATCTTATTATATCTTTATGTTATACACCATAATTATACAATTGATATACCATTCACCAATTGCCACCGTTCCCCACCTGGTGCAACCAGGCGATAGATCCGTCCAAAGCCAGGCACAGCATCGCCCTCCGCGGTCAAGCGGACCTCCAGGAGCCGGAGCCCGGTCCGCGGACCGTGACGGTCCGTGCAACGCTGGAGTCTTACGCAACAAACACAATGTAATTCTGGCCCTTAACAGTTGTAACATGTTGCAACTGGCTGGGGAAACCTTATTTAAGAGAGATTTCACTCCTATAGTTGCAGGGGATATAATCTCATTAATAGCTGTGATATATAACCTTATAGTTGCAGGAGATATAATATCATCCAATCGATTGTGTATCTAACCTAGTTATCCCGGCAAGAGACCCCAAACAATGTGGAGGTGTGGGAGGATAATGTATGATAATATTGATGTTGATGATGATCATGATGATGATGATGATGGTGATGATGAGAAGAAGGATGATGATGATGATGATGACGATGATGATGAGGATGATAATGTTGCGGACGATGATGTTGAGGATGGTGATGTTGAGGATGATGAGGGGCTGCCCGGGGAGGATGATGATGTTGAGGATGATGAAGGGCAGGATGATGATGTTGAGGATGATAATGCTGAGGAGGATGAGGATGAGGATGGAAACGCGGAAGATGAAGTGGAGGATGATAAGGTGGAGATTGATGATGTTGAGAAGGAGGAAGATGATGATGTTGAGGATGATAATGTTGAGGGAGAGGATGAACAGGATGATAATGTTGCGGAAGAGGAGGTGGAGGATGATGATGATGATGATGATGATGCAGAAGATAAGGTGGAGGATAATGATGTTGAGGATGATGATGTGGAGGAGGACCAATCCCAAGACCGCGACAACCGGTTTGTGCGAGACTGCGCATAAGGTGATCCGTTGTAAAGTAAGTTGGCATCCATGGGTCACTATCCTACCAATAACACATGTTCGAGTGAAATAATTAGCCATTATATGTAAATACATGTAATGCGCTTACTAATGATCTAAATCTAATGGGTCTTAGCTGAGTTACAGTATTTAAACATGTCCGATCTTGGATACCTTGCCCAAAATGTGTCGTGTTTTTTTACATTTAAATTGCCCTTCCAAGGTCTCCCCTGAAATATCCAACTTTGGCTGGCGATGTCCCCTTGTTGATTATCATGAAATTTTCGCCTGCTTTTAAATACCCTTCAGTCAACTCACATCCACCATGAATGAAGATCACGTCCGAACAGGAAAAGCGGAAAACCGATTTCCATAACTTGTTGTGTGTTGACCACATGTTTGAGAACTGGATATAAACGGGATATATCAGGATATACACCAAGCATTATTTGGGGATATGATGATAGGGATAAAATGGGATTTATATAATGTGTTGAAAATGGGCATTAAACCGACCGTAATCAGGGTTCAACCACCACCCTAATCAAGGTTCAACACCATGTTTAATAGGCAACTCAGCATACATCTATTTCTATGGGCCATATATACCATAGCAAAGTCTTAAATAACCCAAGGGTCAACATTGACATCATCAGCTCCTCTTACACCAGAACCACAGCCTGCTGCAGTTCAAACTCAGGTAGCAAGCCATAGACGCGGAAGAGTTCTCCCAAGTCACCTGGTGGTGAAGGCAAACGACGACGTTTGGATCCAGGCTGCCAGGCTTGCGATAAAACACATCGATTTGCATAAAGGGAAAATCATGTAAACACGGAATAAATAGAGAATTAAGGGGATCTATAATATATAAATAGTAACATGTAACTGATATACAGTACATATATATATATATATATGTGAATATGTGTCAACATGTTCAAATGAATCCACTCACAATCCCTAGATCTGTGGCTGAATTCCTTCTTGATGCATGTGAAACCTCCATTGTACTCTACAAGGTGGGCATAAATCCATGGCTCTCCCAGCCGGCTTTAGCACACGATTGATTTGATGATGCACCAAACTGTGTAGCTCCTATGGGGTCTCTATTCTTGAGGTTCCCCAACCCATCTATATTATATATATATTAAATATATTAGAATATATTAAATTAGAATATTACTGAATATTAATGACATGTAATTTAATATAATATTACCTTGTCATGGCTCCCTTAAGAATTCCCATTCTGTGGATTTCTATGGTTGCCAATCCACATTCTTAAGACATCCCCGGTGCCCCTGAGTTTCCTGCACTGACCGCAATCCACTTGCTCCTGGTGTTGCGTCGAATGACCCGAGTGGTCAACCAGCAGGCCCCGGCAGGAAATGACTCTTTTCCCCAATGAACAAAGACTGGCTGGTGGTGCAATAACCATCTTGAAACATATGAAAGTCAATGGGAAGGATTATCCGGATTATCCCATACATTGTGGAAAAACAAATGTTTGAAACCACCAACCAGAAGAAATTGATTCAGTTCATTCATTTGAAGGGACACTAAACATGGCAAACATGCCGTTTTTTTCAGTGTAAAACATGATTTCATATTTGTTGTCGAGCTACATTCCAATTTTTCCAGCGTTTAAAATGTCCATTCCAGGTGGGAAAAATTCCCCAATCTATAGTGTATCAAAGCGTCATTTCTGGCAGTCAAACCGTCCGCGCCTTCATTTCAGTGCTCTCAATGGTCATGAGTGTGCGCGCTCGGCAGAAGGCCACGCCTGTGGTAAACGTGACAATGGAAATCCCACTAATGGTGGAGATGCAATTGCCACGTTTGAAACGTTTGAAACGTCCGGAGGGTATATCATTCTATCATTTGAACATGTTAGTAAACATATTCACCCCAGAAAATTCCAATGACTCGTTTTACCTCTGGCTTAGTTGTGGATCACAACTAATTACTATGGTGCGGAAAATGAGTCATTTGACTTTCAGAGTATGATCATCCTCGCAAGTAGACAATGTTTGTTATCTATTAATGTGTGTCCCTATCTCATGAACATGATAATAAATATGTTTACTGTTTGCAGTATATTTGGGTCTGTCTAAGGATGGGGTATACGGTATACAATTTGGTGTAGGGGCAATGATGATTAACTACCGCATTTCGGGGGACCCTATTTTCAGACCAGCCCCTTTTTAAAATCCAAATCATCCAAATAAGCATGGAATTTACTCTATCACCATCATTGCCAAGTGTTGGTACATATGCTTACAATCAATGAAGTTTCAGAATATTATTCAGATATTGACAATTTCTACCATGTTTGAAAAGTATTAGTATAGGTAGCCAAACATCTTAATATATCTAAAAATATTAGATTATTTTTATTCACCCTGTTTAATATCTTCATATAACTATTTAGATATCTAAACCAAACAGGGTCTTAATTTCAGCCCAACAGGGTCCAAGATGGCACCACAGATCACTCAAAATTTAAGGTGCTTCGAGGGACCCGGACCATGGAATTAGACAGCATGACTGTAACAGGTTTAAAGGCCCGGACAGCAGTAGATATAGCCATGAACGTTCTTGGAGAATGTTGGATATATTACAAGAATAAATATATAAATATATATATATTATGATTCATGATATTAAATTAATATCATGAAGTCACCATGAAACATGGAGGATGTCTCCAATTACATCGGACTTCTCGGACTTCTCGAGGGGATGATCCGCCTTCGCAAAACATCAGCACACAGCGCTGGTACGAAGCCTTCGTGACGCCTCGGCGATCGCCACGGGTCGACTGGGCGAATCGAACACTGGGATTCTCCGAACGTCAGTAGAGGCCAAGTAATATGTATATGTATATTGGATGATATTCCAAATACCCTCTGGTTATGTCAAAATAGCTATTGAAAATGACCATAGAAATAGTGGATTTTCCCAGCTATAAAATGGTGATTTTCCATATATGTATATACATACTATTTGATTACTAATGGAAAATACTATTATAATATTGATTGATATACCATTTTCTATATGGGACATGATGAGTGACAAATTACTGTTCAAATTACTGTTCAATCTTTTTGGGTATAACCTCTCGTAATTTAACATAGCCATTATATAAATGTCTAAGATTCCCACAGGGTATTCCAAAATCATTGAAATCAAACCCCATTTCCAATTTGGAATTGGCTCTTTCAGCCTTGGCCTTATCCTTTCAGATTCAAATATAGCTATATAATCTCCATTTATGTTGCTTACACGTGTGTATATATAATAAATATAATTATATATATATATATACGAAATATAATATATAATATATGCATATATATATATGTAATGTAATATATACATAATATATATATACATATATATATATATGTATATGTAAAATAATACATAATATTATAATATATATATAATACATAGAATATACACAAATTAATATATATATATATATATTATGCAATATGTCTATAAATATATACTATTATATATATATGAATATATATGATATATGATATATATATATATTATACTCATTGTGCTTCCTTCAATCCACATTTCTAGGGTTTGCTCGCCAAGTGTTCCTTAGTTTCAACGCTCACATCTCAAATAGTGTCGACGTTTGGTTCACACCACGCTGTTGTTGTCGACATACACGTGTTCTTACTACCTAAAGCCACACTCTTACTAGCTAAGTGCCTATCATTGTTGTTTAACTCTCATGTTTGGCGGTGTGCAGGCAATTTATCCATTCAATGATTTACATATATACCAGTTTTCATACCATATGCTTCAACGAGTTCAATGATAACTTCAATGATGAACGAAGCATGTATGTTTTTTCATAAGGTTGATTCAACTTGAAGGTAAATGACCATTCAGTCAAACGATTTACCAATTTAAACCTTCACTTCTGTCGGGGATCTTCCAGCGAGCCATCTTTGATTACCATGTTTAAACTGGTTGGTTACAAATATTGTCTTCCAATGATGAATGATAATAATAATCCCCTAGACAGGTAGTATAAGCCCAGAAGTTTTTGCATCAACCAAAAGGTGCTTCGCAGCCACTGCGAAGCAAATGAGCAGCTTCAGAAACGTGATTGCAAATTGGTTCTACTGGTGAGTCAATAACAGTTCATAGCCTTCATAGCCATTCCATGCTATTCCAATCATGGATTGTTGGGTGATCCCTTTTCAGCAAGTCAGAAGAATCCAAACATTCACAATAATCCATTGCGATGGTTATAGAATGCTATAGCCCTATAGCCTATAGCTATAGTTTATAGTTACGCATCCTGGTCCTCATTATGTCCTATTGAATCACATGAAATTACCAACGAAGCCATCGGTGTCTCATCTTTCCCCCTTTTCGGCGCCTGGCATGGGGCAGCTCTTCACTTGACCCACCGTCACCGCCACCTGCCATCGTGGTTCCCTGCGGATGTTCCAAAGACAGAATTTTGGGAACATTCATGGGAACAACCCCAAAAGGTTGAGGTCGACACAATGATACAACGGAGATAACATGAGATAACTCTGAAAAAAAGGAACAAAACGGAATGTTGTCACTTTACAACCATTTAATGACATTATCTTTGAAAGTGGTCCACTTCGCCATTTTGCTGGCGGCACCTTGTGATAGGAGGTGATGATCCGCAAGACTGTGCCGGCCTTGGATGACGTTTCTGGTGACACCGTTCGGTTCGCAACGTGGATAGGATAAGGTGAATGGTCCAATGGTGATAGTTTAGTGGTAGTCTATAGAAGTACAGGTAAAAGGTAATGTCCGCTGATTTCACATAGCTATGAACAAATTATAAAAAGAAGTGTGCATCTATCCATGATTTACCTATTAAGTTAAAGATGGATCTTTTCCATAGCAGACTGTGAAAATACCAAAGGGTAGGCACACTTGCAGCTGGCTCCTCTCATCATCTCATCTCACATGGAAGAGATTAGATGTACCCAGGCCGTCAACACACACACACCATGTTGCCATTACTTGAATTCTCTGACTTTATATGTCAATCCTGGAGTTGATGTCAACACCAAATTCATAAGCTTAAACCCTAGTTGATTGACCAAGGTCCAAACAAAAGCGACAATGTACTATGAATCCAGCACCCACTATTCATAAACTCGAGAAATTGATTAATCCAGGTTTGACATTCTCATACCCCATCACTGGAACAATGTTCAACCCCAAAGCGATGGCATTTGAATCTTCACTGTCCATTCATCTTCCGTATCTAGTAGTAATCCCTAAAAGTCAATGGGAATTTCAGGATCCTAAAATGGAGGTAATGTACCATATAAGGCCATATTTTGCGGGGATATTCCCTTACATAGGCCTTATATAGGCCTTATATATGGTAGGTACCTCCAATTTAGGTTCCTGTTGCATGGCCATTGAAAAAATATACAAACTGTTTTTCCAGGACGGTAGTTTGATGATGCTTCCTCCGTGTTTTCCAGCTTTCGAATATATTTTAACGGCATCGATCTTTTGGGGGTTCGAAAAAACCCTAAGGTTTTTCTACAAGCTGGTGCCCCAGTGAGCTAAATCGCTACCTTGGTGAACATAACTCCAATTTCACTGGGGTTTATGGATGTTTATGGTAGATATATCAAACTATCGTTACTATGATAAACATTGATAAACCACGATACTTATAAACCATAGTATCACTGGTGTCACTATCAACTGGTTGGTTACTCCAATTTCACTGGGGTGTATTTATAAACCAACAAGTATCACTGGGGGCACGACCCTCGGATTTTCCCTCTTCGGCATCCCTCTTCGGAAGCTCTCCGAGGTAAGCCCAGTCACTGCCGTCAGTAAGGCTCGCTGCAGGGGACTCGCAGATTTGGCAATCCTGGTTGAAACATCGCCGTGACTCCATGGGATTTGAATGGAGCCGCGATACCATGGCATATATAACAAACATTAACAATCGTTGATAGGTGTCATGATCGACTTACATGGTATACTGCTTGCTGGTTGAGCCACCAACCCCAAACATGTGCTTGTCATTGGGATCATAATCAAACATATGGTTGAGAAAAAAACATGGCTGAAACTTTCCCAGCCAAAATTAGGATACCATATAATATAATATGATATAGCAAAATGATATTTAATATAATATGACATAATATGATATAATATAATATAATAGAATATAACATAATATAATATGGTATATTTGTGTTAAATAAAAAAATATATACTATCATATATTTAAAACATAATAATATATATATATATATTATAATGTAATGTAATATAATATATATATAATATATAATAACATGAAACAATATGATATAATATAACATAATACAATATAATATAATGTAATACAATACAATATAATATAAATATAATGTAATATAATATATATTATCACGGATTTACTCATCAGCAAACCCATGGTGGAATTTCCATCCACAAAAAAAGACCCTATCCGGTAGCAAAACCATGGTACTTAGAATTGATTGATTCTTGCAACTGGGGGTTCATCCCCAATTAAAGAGGTCTTGATCATTTGATCCATAGCCAGGACCCTCTGGTAATTTAACATAGCCATGTTTAATAGGCAAAGCATGTACATGACTATGTCAAATGGCAATGACGAGGTAATTTCACATCGTAACATAGTCATTTGCCATATGTAGATATGATGTTCCATGACTATGTTACTATGTCAAATTACCAAATGGTACTGTCGCAAAATCATGGACTCGGGATCCCTCTTTTGCAGGCAGGGTTCCGTGTGAAATATACAGTTTACACACATATATATATATATATGATACATATATAAATATAATAATATATATATATAAGATTATATATATATAGTATAACCATGTCATGTCTCCAAGTATTTTCCGAAATTTCAGAGGTCTCCTTTATATAGATGGTCCTTGAAACATCCCTTGAACCTGTTTTTTGGGACTGGTGGAAAACCCAGGAAAATCCCAATTCCCCTAATTTGGATGTCCTTGGATTCTCCCCGCAAGAAGGACGAGGTGAAATCCAAATTAAATTTAGGCAAATGACTATTAGTTAATATAGTTCATAAACTTGAAATAAACATGAATACTTAAGGATATAACAATAATATTATTAACAATAATAGCAATAAATGTGTTATTCATAATAACAATACATAATATTCTGAATAATTAATCAAAATATAATGAACAATGAAAACACACGTTCTTCAATAATAATCACAATCAATAATGAAAACTACTATAACAAACCTTTTGAAGGATGATTCCCCTTACCAAAACAAAAACAAAAACACATGTCACTGTATGCATCACTTCTTTGATGACGTCCGCCAAGCAGCTCGTCTTCCAGGACATTCAAGCATCGCGTTCCCTTCCTAAGTGCAGTTGCGCTCCACTCTTGGGCGACTGTTTGGAAGTATCTGGGGGGGTTCTTAAAATGGGGGGACCCCAAGTAGTTATCATCCACATTATTGGCCATAATCAATAGGAAAACCCATGGTTTGGGATCGCCATACAACTCATCGAAATTTGAGCCTGGTCAGCCTGGTACACTTGTGTGTCAACGGTTCCTTTGTCCCTTGCCAGGCGCTTTTTTTTTACCAGAGAGTGCAACTAGAAGTGGGGGCTATTCCGGGTATTCTTCCACATTTGGGATGGGGCACAATGGACCATTCTGCTGTGAGTCGTTCAACCAACCAACCAACCAACCAACCAACCAACCAAGCAAGCAACCAACCAACCAACCAACCAAGCAAGCAACCAACCAACCAAGCCACCCCTCAGAAATTCAATGAAACCAATGTGTTCTCTGTCGGCTGGAGACATCAACTACGACTTTCAGCTGCGGCTCACCTTTATCAAGTCCTTCAGTCCGTTCAGTACCACTCTTGGGAAATCCGGGACTCAATGGTTAAACTGCCCCTTCAACTAACGTGTTTGACAATATATAAAATATGGTTAAATAAGTTCAATGTTAGTTGCAGATCCCATTTTTTGATGGTTAGTGGTTAGTTACACAATATATACAGTACATATATATATAATATATATATATATATTATAATATCATAGAGAAATCGCATGACATCACCATTCTTTTGATGCTCCCCCAAACGCAGGTCACCATGTCCACTTCTCCGGTCCTCCATCGGACTCCATCGTGCCGTGTCACAGCAGATCTCCCAAGTGCGGTTCCAACGAGATCGAATTGGAACGCGAATTGGAACGGCAGCGGCTGATGGCAGCGTCCTTCTCCGGGTAACCTGCCGAAAAAAAAGCACTGCGGAGCATGGTGCAGGAGTTAAACATGACAGCATTTGGAAGTGAACATAGCCATGGGGGTACCCAATAGCTGGATGGTGTAGTTCATGGAAAAGCCTACTAAAATGATCTAAAATGGATGATTTGGGGGTATTCCCATCTTAGGAAGCCTCTATTTCCATCTATTTCCAGAATATGCCATTTTTGTTTTGCAAGAGGTCAAACTGCTCAATCCGCTGGATTTCCTGGATGACATCACTGGTGATATACCATCTGGTTACTTAACAGTTCGCCATGGAAAATCACCATTTTTAATAGGTAAACATAGGTAAACCATCTATTTCTATGGGCCATCTATACCATGGCTATGTCAGCCATAATCAGAGGGTACCAGCAAATCCCGGCAGCTCGCTTGAGCCGAGCCTTGCTTTGGCCTGAGCTGTGCAAATTAGCTGCGCCCCACGGCCGGTGATGTTTGGTAATTTTAGGAGTACGGGGATCCTGCTACCCCCCTCAAATGCATAGGAAGTCAATAATGATAGTGAATATTCACTGATATGTTTGAATAATACATGACAGGATCATCATGAAATCATACTCGGTCTTGGTTTCAAGCCATTCATGTGCCCTTTTCACATTCGAGTCAAGTCTGCTGTTCATCAGGATGCCAGGTCGGGATGTTTTCTGTGTTAACGATGCCATGCTCACGACCCAAGAGTTGACCAATGGACCAATGTCAAGAAATCTGAGTGAATCGATCATGATTCCACCAGGTACTCATGGCTCGTGACGCCATCAGTAGCCACAACCGATTTCACCACGTCACAAGGATTTCACCAAGAGACTTCAAATCCAAAAAATTGGGGCTGAAGTCCTCGCGGATGCGACACTCGATGCCGCTGCCCTCCAAGACATAGTCACCTTGTTGTGACTTGTTCAAGGCGCGGTGAAGCGAAACGCAGTTCTGAGGTTTAGACATGGGACATAACTTGGGATACTTTTTGGGTAACCGGGTAAACTAAGATCGATGTGGAACATCCACCATGATCCATGGCATTCCATGGTATTCCTTTCCACGTCTTGGTGAATCGATGCCATGGCTCCGAATCGGGACATGGGACATAACTTGGGGATATAGGGGGATGATCAACCATATGTTTTGGAGGAAAAAAAAACGACATTCTATCCCAAAACATACACTATTAGAATTTCAGAGTATCTAATGTTTCAGAGTACCTATAGGGGGATGATCAACCATTTGTTTCACTGCAACTTTAGATACTCTGAAATTCTAAAACAAAACGTTACGTGTATTATCGTGTATTTTTAGTTCGTTGGGACACATGTGCCACGGTCAAAGCATGGTATATGGTTTATGGTCATCCCATATTGGGAAATCCTCATAATGGATATGTAAGTTCCTATCTAGTGGATTGATACACGTCCGGCGGAAAACCATCCTGTTTTGACAATGGATCATATGTACCCCTTAATATTGGGCAAAAAACAACACATTACCAATCAAAGGTTGACACGGTGGCATTAAGTATAGCGCGTTCCCGAAAAATCGCCATCAAGGGGCGACGACCAGTGAGGATTCTATAATTCATCTAAACTGGCAACGGAATCAACAGATATGAATGGACACATATGGGCCATATGGGTTATCAGTTAGCATGAAATGAAAACAACGGGCTTATCACAACATCATGATTCAAAACGGCTATCATGATTATCCATTTCATTGTGGATAATTCAAAATTGTATCAAAACATGGAAACTATGCGTTGGATACACCATAATACAGCTACTGTGCCCAAACTTGCACAAGAAAATCACAGAGTTGGCATATCACATGGATTCTCATCACATTCCCATTTTTGTTGCTTGCATCCCATACATACATGTATATATATATATATGTATTATAATTGCGTATATTATGCATATATACCCTCTGGTAATTTAACATAGCTATGGAAAATGGCCCAGTTATAGTTGATTGACGTATTAAAAGTGGTGATGTTCAATAGTTTTGTATGTTTACCCAGAGGGTATATTCCATTAAATATCATCACCATCTTCAGAATTCAGCTCCACAACCGATCATCTTGCCGCGGTACCCCATTTGTATATCTATCCCATACTATCCCATTCATATCCCAGAGAAATCTCCCATTATTACATGCCATTAGTATATCATCAATATCCCATATCATTAACAGATAAGATATTCCATGAACATAGACTAATGGTATATTATAGTATATTAACTATTTCTATGGAATATAATGGTTTATTAGAACTATAGTTATATCTACCATAAACCATACCCTCTGGTAATTTAACATAGCTATTGAAAATGACCATAGAAATAGTGGATTTTCCCATCAAAAATGGTGATTTTCCATGGTTATGTTAAATTACCAGAGGGTAGTTAAGCCACTTCTAAGGCAACAGAATCTTGGGGAACCCCATCACGTCCAGGTAACGCCAGAGCTGCACGCCTCCGGGGCAGCTCTGTGCCCCAGCGTCGGTCCTTGATCGTTCAACCATGGGGATTTCTAATGGATTATTCAATGGATTGGTTTAAGGGAAAATCTTAACCGGAAACCATGGTTTTTACCATCAAATATAGGGGTTTCCTGTAAATTTTCCCATCATCCAGTTCTATGAATTATGTACAATGTGACCTCCCCAATTATAAATTGGTTTATAAACCCCATTGACTGTGACTAAAAAGTGAGTCAGAAGTATCATAAACCATAGTTATTGGAGTTATAAACCAACTTAGCTATCTAGGGGGTCGTATATATATATATATATATTGTATCTAAAACTAATGATTTAACTAATGACCAAGGCTTTGTAAAAGGGTGATTCTGGTCTTAGGCTGCCTTGGCTTGCGATGCAAAGGCCAAAATAACCGACCTGGTTGTTTGTTTTGCCAGCTTATTCCTCCCTGATAGTGTAGGGCATAGGGTTCATACTGACCGGGTTGCCCAGTTGCTGCGTGATCAGATGGCCTCCTGCTAATTGGTATCCTTTATTTCTACTAAGGCCCTCTTTGGGATCCCATTTATTTTTATTCTTATGTCCTCCGCTCTGGCCCACTGGTGGCACACGCAGGGAAATTGCTTGGGGGTCTATGCTGCATAAGCCGCCCAAGCCACCCGCATGAGGGTGACCATGAAACAAAGCCTAACAAAGCCTAATGACCAAAAATTGTTAAACATTGTTAATCGCCGAATAATGGATTAATGCTGGTTAATCATGGTGATTGTCCACAACTCTCTCTATATATATATACATACATAATCAATCATAATCATATATATATATATATATATAGTTGCTATATATTTATTTATATAGTTGTTAAGCATGCGCACATGGTTATTCAATGTTATTCAATGGTTCATAGTACTTAATGACAGCTAGTAATAGTTATAGTAATGGGTTCTCAAAATGGAAATCCTCAAGTCACCATGGTTGTTTCAATACGAAGTCATGGTCTAATGAGTCTAGTGACTTGGATGATCTGGGGGTGACCCCCATTTTAGGAAACGTCCACATACCGATTTTACCATCCAACATATCCAACATGGTGACTTTACTATCCAAACACGTGGATTTTACCATGGAACGTGTGGACCTGACATTGAAAACTTGTGGGTTTTGACCATCCAGACATGTCAGGATTACGCATTGAAAAACCCTGACAATCCAAAGACAATAATTCGGACCATCCAAAGACGAAACATGAAATCTCAAAACAATTATACTTGTATATATATATTTAATTATATATATATATATCCAAGAAAGAAATCGTGCCCTCGAAATGGGGATCCCATCGGTGTTTCTAGGTATATCATGGTATATCTACAGGCTTTTACAGGAAATCTCACGAAACGATGGTTCTTCCTATCAAATTCGTGGGCTTAGTCGCCCACTGTGCACCACTCGCTGCGGACCTCGCCCTTCTGGCCAAGGATCAGGTAAAAACGCGGAAGGATCCTGACGGTGGCCCCAGATTCTGCCCCTGTAACCGATTCCCCAAATCGGTGTCATCAGATTTCCCCACTTGTTGTTACTTCTCTTGTATCTTTAGCCAAACATTACGCAACCAATACATTGGTCCCAAATCAACGCTTACTGTAAATGATACAGATGGCATATGAATGAGAAAACAAACCAGCCCTTCACGTGTTTTTTTTGGTATAATTAACATTGATTAACCAGCCATTCATGATGAAATATCATGAAATATCCCCATTTCATGGGTAACTTTCCCCATTCATGTAATAAACCCAATGCCAGAAACCATCCCCAAGTCATCACCATGGCATACCATGGATGCGATGTAAAAACCATCCCAAGTTATGGCAGGGTTAGCCGCTAAGCCAAGGCCCACATGAACCGTATTCTTCCCATGGGATATCCAACCATCCTATGGATGGGATCATTACACAACCATATATAAACCATAATATAATATATATATATATATATTATATATATATATTATGTACATAAACTAACCAATATATAAACCATGTAAACTATATATATACATAATAAACCATCTAAATTACATACATATATATAATTATAATTCATATAATATATATAATTATAATTCATATAATTATACATGAACTTATACACACACATTATATATGTATATATATAATATATATATACACATGTGAACTTGTATAAACAGTATAAAAACATATAAAAACCATGTAAAGTGTATATCCCACTGTTCCATGCGTTTCATAATTTTGCCGTGGCGCCGGAAGTGTTTGAAGAGCTGCGCGATGCCCACGCCGCCCGACTCCACGGCGTCCACGGCACGTTGCTCCGAGAGAATGATGCGACTCGTGGCCACACAGAAGACCTGCGCTGTGTTTTGGGCGACTGCAACGAGTTGGACATGTGGGGATTAAAAAACCTTAGAATTGAGACATGAGTTGTTTTTTATGAAGTTCACCTGAAAAATCATCAGGATCTTCACCGGGAAAAATGGGTGACTTCCACGTGATTTTGGTTGATGATTTCACCAGCAAAGATGGGTTTTTTGGATCCCAAAAAGGCGGACAATGTTGCAGAAATGGTGACGGCGCCGGAAGAAATGGTGATTTGGAACCTGGATTTGGTGGAAACCGGGGATGTCTCCGCCGATTTGAACATCAAAACCCAATGGCCCAATGGCATCTTTGGGGCCACATTGCCACATCCATAGTTACCATGGATGGGGCACCAAGGTTGCAGCCTCTCCCAGCCTCGCCGCAGCAGGACATTTGCACCCGCCGGTCGTACCTGGACAGTGACCGCTGAAGCTGCACTGCCTGACCAACTGTGGGTCTTACACCTCCAATTTTAGACAAAGGTCTCCTTTTGCAGTGCAATGAGTCACCCTTCCACTGAGTCCCAAACTCATCGAACTGGGGCATCAACTGGACATACAACATTGGAATTGTTTGAGCATTCAAGCATGTATTTTGTTGGATCAATCAGTCAATATTCAATATACATACCCAATTCATCCCAATTGGTATTTTTTGGATCAATGGATCAATATATATATATATACATTGTATAGATATAGATATACATATTGAGAACTATCTATGTAATATATATATATAATTATATATATATACATTATGTACATAAAATATATTAAATATATATATATATTCACATCCCCATTTGAGCTCATTGTTCCACATCTTTCCCACGGGGAAACTGCTGACTTCAACGGGAGCCACTGCTTCACGAAGGGATGTGCCCAGGAAATCATCTCTTGGATCTCACGGTTGAAGATCACCTGCCAACGACTTACCGTTAAAAAGGGGAGGAAATACATGGGCAAATAGGGGTGAATTGGTGGTTTAATGGTGGTTTAATGGTGGTTTATATGGTTAATCATGGTTTTAAGTACTAAAGGTATATAAATAAATTACCAGTCATATAATCCCATATAATAATGTTTAATTGCCAAGTTTAACTTTAACTACTAATTAGTACAAATCTATCTGAGATATACAGAACTTCTCGTGTTTGTATACCTTTATACTCAAAGTGTCTTAGATTCAATGCGATCTGAATCAGATCTGGGTCCATGTCAACCCTGGTTGAACATTCCCCAGAAGCCGTGAATATTTTTGGGTACCCCTTGTTCTTAGTTGGGAGGGTCCATTTAAAGGACAATCAAATTGCTTACATGACCAACTCATCGATCAAGGCTTGTTGATCGGAGGTCGGCGTAAAGGAACTATATTTCATCGGGACTATGTATAATATGTATATATATATACATAATGAATGATAATTGAATTATATTATATGATTAATTATATATGATTATATTACAAATATCATCACACATCCAATTTCTGCTGGAAAATCACCAGGTTCGGCCAAGCTAGCACTTTTGTATATGAATATATCTGCTGTAAATGGACCTTTAGTCTGTAGCAGTTTCTATTGACATCAGTTTGGGACTTCATGTAGGCATCATCCCACCCGCTGTACCTCCACTTTAATCTCCTTGGACAATTCAGAAAATCAGGACACTACAAGAACTGTTGGCTCATTGGGTGAAAGGCGGGACTGATGGAATCTGTCAGAAATGCATGGAATCTTTGTACCTATAGTCATCTATAGTCCATAAATGGACCATTCATGCAATTAATCTGAATCATCTGGGACCACTGACCATTTCTTCTTGGGATCACTGATGGTCCAATAGCGACATGTTCTCCCTTTGCACCCAGCCATGATTGCCACGAGGCATCCACTCCTCCCAAAAAAAACACACGTCGGTTGGTCATGTGGAGAAAAGGCCATTTTTCCATAACTATCCATAAATCAGATCCTACAAATTTCCTATGACAAAAAATGACTGGCTACGGTTTAATCAGTAGCGGTTGCTGAAGTGGCATGATTCATGTTAGCTAATGGCTCTTTGGACCTCGAAACCGGCCATCCATGGCCATCCCACATCGCGTATCCCAAGCATCCGATTGATACCAGGCCGACATGGTGCGTTGAAGGGCACCATTGGCCGTCAACACCACGCCATGGTAGGGATGGCTTTGCATCCAAGCTGTATCCTGGCTACTTCCATGGCACCAAGTTCTGGACAGGAGAGTGGTAACGTTGGTAAGCTGTAAAACAATAAGGCTTTATGCTGGGTAGATTCAGATTTACACACACATATATATATATATTAAACAACAAAAACACGTAGTACACATGGTTATATGGCTTAATAAGATTTAATAAGGGGAACCCACTTTCTATCGTCCCTCCCAGATATTGCCAAGCCCATGCGTTTGGCGCTGAACATAACACCAATTTATGTCACTGTTTGGTAGATCTATAGTTACTATGGTTTATAAACCAAATTATAACTGGGGGGCACCTCTATTGATGTCAAACCAAAGATCCAGTAGCACCTCTAAGCCCTGACCGTCCTGTAACTTCTTCCGCAGCCATGGCGACAAAGGCCTCGACTGGCCCCATGAATTCTTCCAGGATGCACTGAAAGAGCTGCATTTAGCCCAAAAATGGCTCAAATGTGGGTAAGTTGTGGTACATATACATACATACATACATATAATATACCATCTCTGAGAAATTCTAGCCATTCACTAACCTGAAATAAGAATAAATAAGTCTATTTTGGGGCTACCCTCTGGTAAACTAACATAACTATGGAAAATCACCATTTTCCATGGGTAAATCCACTATGAATTACAATTTTCAATAGCTATGTTAAATTACCAGAGGGTAGTTCCCCCAATCCAGGCTTCGGTCACGACGTGAGGTCACTATGCATCCACCTCCCTGAGAGGATGAGATCCTCAGGGGATAATGATGATTATGATGAGGAAATTCCCAATCAAATTCTGCGGACTATTTTCAGACATACTCATCTTATCATCTTCAAGTTTGCTTTTGTTGATGATATATACTGCACTGTATACGGTAACTACATCCAAATATACGATTTTTTAAGTATACGAACTGGTATCTTAGACTACCCCCGGGAATGTTTTCCTTGGCCCGGCCATTTAAACATACGGAATCCAATTTATTTGAACATACCATCTGGTTATTTAACAGTTCGCCATGGAAAATCCACCCATTTTTTATAGGTAAACCATCTATAAATGGGTCATCTATACCATGGCTATGTTAGTCATAAGAGGGTATATTTAAACGTTACCAATGGGACCGGTGTTTCATACTACCTCCGGGGCCTTGTGGTCTGGTGACCTACAATCAAGGTTGATCATCATTTTCCCCCTTCAAATCACCATGAACTGAGAGCAAATCCATTATCTTGTTTTGACCAACCCATATCAGCCATAGACGATTCAGGTTTATATGTCCCTTTATAATCCTCATATCATGGTTCATAATTAAACTTCTCCATTGCTCCATTGATTCACAGTCATACCTTTTGCCTCTTGTAATTTGTCATAGCTATGGCAGCTATCACCATAATCACCATGTAAAACATAGGTAAAATATCTATCAAGGAACTGATTTGCATAGCTAGTTTCAATTGCAAGAGGGCCTAAGGGTTGGACAAAACCACACTGCTTCCAGGCCACATTTCGCCGCTGCTTCTCTGCATGATGTCGCCAAAGTTTGCCCGACCATCTTCATCTCGGACCTGCAAATTAGATGACTAGAGGACACATCAATCCAAGTGGGTTTCCGAACAACCAATTGGACACACACACACACCAATACAGCTCAGCTAGATTGGGAATTATGTGTCCAACCATGTCCAAGCAAAACTTGGGAGATGACCACAACGGGTGATTTACGGGGACTACGCAATTAAACTTGGAATGATTGACATGATCCAGCTAAAGTCAAAATCTGTGATTGGGAAAATTGTTCCTAAAATTGTACAGCTCACATGAAATAACCGACTATATACTGCATTTCGCCTGGTGAACCAGTGTGCACCCGTTCCAATTGTCAGTTGCTTCATATCAATGTCTGGATCCATTTATCATTCGGTTGATCGACTTGGCCGATGCCCACTTTCATATCCAGTGCACGTTTACGATGTTTGGTCAAATGAACCATTTGAAACATTCAGAATCCCGATTTGCACGGATGAATCTGGAGAAATTCTATACAGATATAGAGTATGTTATAGTACAGAATTTGCAATGAATCCTGAACCATCTGAACCTGAAAAGATTACAAAAATTCAAATCCTGATTTGTGACATCATCAAATTGCTCCTTCCCCTCCGGTGGCAGCTGGGTCTCCCCACAGCCATGGCTCAAATTGAAATTTCAGCGCCGTTTCTGGAAAGAAAACCCTTGCAATTGGAGATTTGCAATCTTTAGTGTTTTTTTTTCCCTTTCTGTTCCCTGAAAAATGGTCTGAACATTTCCTTGCTGACTTCGGCAGCGTAATCTTGCCATCGAATCGTAGGAGGACGTGTTCGACTTTGACCCTCACTGATTATAGATATTATAGCGGTATTTGCTCCGTGTATGGAAGCAACCAAAAACACAAATTGGAAATCCAGCAAGATTTAGTAACATGATCATTGGAAAACAAACATGACCTTTGACTTGCAACATGTTCAGTCCATTCAACTGTTTGCTTGTCAAGTCTTCCATCCACTGCATGATCTGCTGATTTTCAGGGGAGCGAATCCCTCAGATATTGAACACATCTCAATACCCCCTAATACCAAGGAACCCTGGTTTAGGATTGGGCCATATTTAGTCACATTGAGTCTGTTGAATCTTGGGGTTCCTTGTTCTTGTTATTGGAGGATATTGGGAGTGTAGCTAATCTTAGGCAGATGGGATTATTGGAGTCCGAACTGCTTGTAGCCAGGCACGCCCGGACCCAGTCGAGCAGTTTCGCCCCAACGTTTCGCTTCTTTCGTGCGGCAAAGTTCAGCGTATCGCTTGAAGGTGTGGTAAATTCATATACATATATATATATTATATTCATCAATGGTGTATGGTGTACGGTGTACGGGTAAAAGTGTCATCTTGGTATTTTTGGTCAGCAAAAACACTTGAGCCCTTGGTAAGCAAAAAAATGGTTCCAGATTGGTTCCAGAGACATCAAACCATGCCCATTACTTTTCATACACATAAATATATATATATATATATGAATGAACATATATACACATTACTATATAATCCTTTCTCCCATGTGGAACCATGTTCCAATGTACGCTCTCACTCTGCCAGGTCAGTTAACGGTGTGGCATCCTCCGCAGGTTCCAAGACTTTCCTCAGAGCCAGGGCCTTTGGATCCACTTCGGTGATGTTAGAAACCAAAAACCGGGGGATACCCTCTGGATCCCTCTGGTAAACTAACAGTTTGCTATTGAACATGGCCGTTTATAGCGGATTTACCCATTAAAAATGGTGATTTTCCATAGTTATGTAAACGTTTACCAGAAGGTACTCTTGGGTTCAATGAAAATGCTTGGGCATACAACACACTTGCATTGAAAAAATGACAGTTACAAAGCATAAGAGATGCTAAAGAATTCATGGGTCAGTGTGCTTAAGGTGGGTTTGCAATCAGCAGTGCCAGAAAAACCGTGTCAAAATGAAGACGAACCAGCGACAGGCACCTCTGGCTAATAATTCCCAATCGGATTTTTTAGCAGAACAGCCTATCATGAAGTGGAAAGGAACGCAAAGTGAAAACAATCTGAATCTCCTACAACCTGGTTGCAGTAAACAACTGCTTACCTTCAAACCAAGCCTTACTTTGAACATGATCCTCTGCGTCCTTATGGAAAACTACCACCATTCAACTCATTTGCAGAATCATCGTCTGAGTTTGAATGGGAAACTACCACCACTCAACTCATGTGCAAAATCATCATCTGAGTTTGAATGGGAAACTAATCCCACTCAACTCATTTGAAGAATCATCGTCTGAGTTTGAATGGGAAGCTAACACCACTCAATTCAGTTGCAGAAGCATTGTCTGAGTTTGAATGGGAAACTAACACCACTCAACTAATGTGCAGAAGCATCGTCTGAATTTGAATGGGAAACTACTGCCACTCAACTCATTTGCAGAATCATCGTCTGAGTTTGAATGGGAAACTAACACCACTCAACTCATTTGCAGAATCATCGTCTGAGTTTGAATGGGAAACTAACACCACCCAACTCCTTTGCAGAATCATCCTCTGAGATAGAATGGGAAGCTAACACCACTCAACTTATTTGCAGAAGCATTGTCTGAGTTTAAATGGGAAACTACCGCCACTCAACTCATGTGCAGATCACCAACTGAGTTTGAATGGGAAACTAACACCACTCAACTCATGTGCAGATCATCGACTGAGTTTGAAAGGGAGACTAACACCACTCAACTCATTTGCAGAATCATCGATTGAGTTTGAGTGGGAAGCTAGCACCACTCAACTCATTTGCAGAATCAACGTTTGAGTTTGAATGGGAAACTCACACCATGCAGTCAACTCATTTGCAGAATCATCGTCTGAGATAGAATTAGAAGCTAACACAACTCAACGCATTTGCAAAAGCATCGTCTGAGTTTGAATGGGAAACTACCACCACTCAACTCATGTGCAGAATCATCGTCTGAGTTTGAATGGGAAACTACCACCACTCAACTCGTGTGCAGATCATCGTCTGAGTTTGAATGTGAAACCAACGCAACTCAACTCATCTGTGCAGATCATCGACTGAGTTTGAATGGGAAACTACCACCACTCAACTCATGTGCAGATCATCGACTGAGGTTGAATGGGAAACTACCACCACTCAACTCATGCGCAGATCATCGTCTGAGTTTGAATGGGAAACTACCGCCACTCAACTCATTTGCAGAAGCATTGTCTGAGTTTGAATGGGAAACTAACGCCATTCAACTCATGTGCAGATCATCGACTGAGTTTAAATGGGAAACTACCACCACTCAACTCATCTGTGCAAATCATCGTCCGAGTTTGAATGGGAAACTACCACCACTCAACTCATGTGCAGATCATCGTCTGAGTTTGAATGGGAAACTACCACCACTCAACTCATGTGCAGATCATCGTCTGAGTTTGAATGGGAAACTACCACCACTCAACTCATGTGCAGATCATCAACTGAGTTTGAATGGGAAACTACCACCACTCAACTCATGTGCAGATCATCGTCTGAGTTTGAATGAGAAACTACCACCACTCAACTCATGTGCAATTCATCATCGTCTGAGGTTGAATGGGAAACTACCACCACTCAACTCACGTGCAGATCATAGTCTGAGTCTGAATGGGAAACGACCACCACTCAACTCATGTGCAGATCATCGTCTGAGTTTGAATGGGAAACTACCACCACTCAACTCATGTGCAGATCATCGTCTGAGCTTGAATGGGAAACTACCACCACTCGACTCATGTGCAGATCATCGACTGAGTTTGAATGGGAAACTACCACCACTCAACTCATGTGCAGATCATCGTCTGAGTTTGAATGGGAAACTACCACCACTCAACTCATGTGCAGATCATCGTCTGAGGTTGAATGGGAAACTACCACCACTCAACTCATGTGCAGATCATAGTCTGAGTCTGAATGGGAAACTACCACCACTCAACTCATGTGCAAATCATCGACTGAGTTTGAACGGGAAACTACCACCACTCAACTCATGTGCAGATCATCGACTGAGGTTGAATGGGAAACTACCGCCACTCAACTCATGCGCAGATCATCGACTGAGGTTGAATGGGAAACTACCGCCACTCAACTCATGCGCAGATCATCGTCTGAGTTTCAATGGGAAAGTACCGCTACTCATCTCATTTGCAGATCATCGACTGAGGTTGAACGGGAAACTACCACCACTCAACTCATGTGCAGATCATCGACTGAGGTTGAATGGGAAACTACCGCCACTCAACTCATGTGCAGATCATCGACTGAGGTTGAATGGGAAACTACCACCACTCAACTCATGTGCAGATCATCGTCTGAGTTTGAATGGGAAACTGCCGCCACTCAACTCATTTGCAGAAGCATTGTCTGAGTTTGAATGTGAAACTACCACCACTCAACTCATGTGCAGATCATCGTCTGATTTTGAATGGGAAACTACCGCCACTCAACTCATTTGCAGATCATCGACTGAGGTTGAATGGGAAACTACCACCACTCAACTCATGTGCAGAATCATCGTCTGAGGTTGAATGGGAAACTACCGCCACTCAACTCATTTGCAGATCATTGACTGAGGTTGAATGGGAAACTACCACCACTCAACTCATGTGCAGATCATCGTCTGAGTTTGAATGGGAAACTACCGCCACTCAACTCATTTGCAGATCATCGACTGAGGTTGAATGGGAAACTACCACCACTCAACTCATGTGCAGATCATCGACTGAGTTTGAATGGGAAACTACCACCACTCAACTCGTGTGCAGATCATAGTCTGAGTTTGAATGTGAAACCAACGCAACTCAACTCATCTGTGCAGATCATCGACTGAGTTTGAATGGGAAACTACCGCCACTCAGCTCATGCGCAGATCATCGTCTGAGTTTCAATGGGAAAGTACCGCTACTCAACTCATTTGCAGATCATCGACTGAGGTTGAACGGGAAACTACCACCACTCAACTCATGTGCAGATCATCGTCTGAGTTTGAATGGGAAACTGCCGCCACTCAACTCATTTGCAGAAGCATTGTCTGAGTTTGAATGTGAAACTAACGCCACTCAACTCATCTGTGCAGATCATCGACTGAGTTTGAACGGGAAACTATACCACCTACCACTTTTGGTCCTCCAGTGAGCTTTCGTGCCACAGAATTGGACGTATCCAACATGTCTGGATCTCTACCATCTGTCGTTGAATTAAATGTTATAAACTGTACAAGGTTTTAACATGTGTGTATATATATACACACATTCATACGTATGTATATAAAGCAAATTCGACCTTTCTTTCCTTTCTTCTCACTTCTCCAAGTGAAAAACCGGTAATCTGGGCCATCCGTTTGCCACTCCGTATCATGCCACTATCATCCTGGGACTTCATCACCACCATTTTGCAGGCGTTTTTTTGAATCATGACCCTTACAATATTTCAATAGTTTTAGCCCTTAACAGTCATAACTGGCGGGAAAAAAAACTCATTTAAGTGATATTGATAACCTTAGATCCCATACTTGCAAGAGTTATACCCCCTTGGCCACAACTGTTAAGGGCAAACACCACTGTTAATCATCATTCATCAGCATGAATCATCATTATTCACCATAATTACAGTGATCACTATTAACAATCATTTTAACCACTATTATTTGTATAACCATCATTAAAACCACTAACCCATCCATCAAATTTACAACTGTTACGGGCCAAAACACCACTGCAGTATCTTCATCCCTTCTCCGTTGCCGGGAGGCCCACTTCTGATGTTCAGCAAGGAGAGGCTGACCTCCTCTGCCGGACGCAGCAACTCGCACTCTGCGTGGCCCAGGGCGCGCCAGGGCGCGGCCCGCGCAAGGGCGGGTTTCCAACCAATGGTTGGGATAGAACCAGGCAAAATCTTGGGAAAAACCAAGCAATACCATTGAGATATCATATAGATTTAGGTATATTTCTTTGATTTTTTCATTCCAAACTGGGGGATACATGGATATGGATACCCTATCGGGTTCAACCCCCTAGGACTCGATGATCTCACCATTTCTTGGTGAATCATTCCATTTCGTTGCTGAAAGCCCCACTTTTCTTGCAAATGTCCCATGTTTTGTAGGCAAAATCAATATGTTTTGTTTTTGCCAGTGAAATCACTGCTTTCTTGCTTTAAACCCACGGTTTTCTCATGTCTTGTTGGTTAAATCACTTTTTTTTCTGGTCACACCCTCATTCATTGCAGAACTCACTAGTGTTGTCTGTCGTACGTCTGATGCTTAAATACCCATGGTGTGTCTGATTGACATGTGTTAAACTGCTACAGTCATGTTTGCCCGAGCAGATCCGTAAACGAAATGGTTGTTGTTCTTAAAATCCATCATTCTTGCAGGTTACATCCTGTGTTGTTGTCCTGAAACTTTCTCAACCAATCTATACTGTAAAGCAAATGACTCCACCATGATTCTTGTTGATAAATCCAATGTTGTGATTTTGTGATATTAAGCACTTAAAGTACTACTTTTGTTGGTTCACACTTCATGTTGATTGCTAAGTTCCCCCATCCGTGGCTCTCAGATGAAGTTTCAACTGGGGCTATCCCTACCTTCTCAGCAATCCCAGGAAGGATTCAAATGGGGAAATGTCATGAAATATCTATACAACAAGTACATATACTCTACAACACTCAATCTTAAATCATATATATATATAATATATAAATATATCTTATATTAGTACATATACTCTACACACATGGGGTCTTGTAAAAACCCCGAGCCCTTTCAAATGTTTTTGTTTTCACACATTATCGTTTTTTTCCCTCTTATGGTTTTTCCAAGCGCTGGCTTCACACCTTGACCAAAGGATTCACATGAGCGAGGAAAGGGAAAAGGAAAAGGAAGAGTAAAGGAAGGGAAAGGAAAGCATAGGAAAGGGAGAGGAAAAGGAAAGGAAAAGGAAAGAGAAAGAAAAAGGAAAGGAAAATGAAAGGAAAAGGAAAGGAATAAATAGGAGGAAAAGGAAAAAGGAAGGAAAAAGGAAAAGAAAAAGACAAGGAGAAGGAAAAGGAGAAGGAAAAGGAGAAGGAAAAGGAGAAGGAAAAGGATAAGGAAGGGAAAGGAAAACGGAGAGGAAAGGGAGAGGAAAGGGAGAGGAAAGGGAGAGGAAAAGGAAAAAAGGACCGTGTCTCACACGGACCATTTTTGATGCCAAAAGTGATCGTTTCCGTTTTCGTTTTGTTATCGTTCTTGAATCCTGTGTACGTTCCTTTTTTCTGGAAATGGAGCGTAGCGACCACCTACCAGGCACCTTCCTTGTGCAGAATCTGACAAGCATTTGTTGGCGCGCCATTACGACGACAAACAATGAAATGAAGAAGCCAAAACGCAGAACGACGGAAAAATAAAAAACATTGGATTTCAAGAGTCTGGACACAGATCATTAACTATGGATGACGATGTATGTATGTGATACCGTATTTCCCACCTCGTCGATCTGCTTCCGCAAGCTGCCCAGAGTGGCGTTTTCGGCCAACTTCAACCTGGGCGATTGTCCATAGGGACCCCCCTCAAAAAAAAACTGCATATAAATAATTATAAATATAAACACATTGTTTGCAAAAGCATTTACATCATAATTGATAGCTACCTTAACCATAATTTTCCCTTTTACAGTAATGGCTTCACTGAGAGGCACAACTGTTTCAAATTGGGCAAAACACAGCCGCGAATCAGCCAAAATGCTAGTTCAATGGACTATATCCAGTCTTCAACTTTCAACATCTCTCAACTCAATCTATACTCGGAATGTTTATACTGTTTGTTTTCCAACTTTAGGGGGTTAGCTGAGTGGGTGTAGAGCCAAGCTGGGGAACCACGAGCTTTCGATATAAAATTTCCCCTCTGATTGCGCGAGGTGTCGGGAAATGCAGAAGATACACTCAAGTAATGTTGGTAAAACTAATAATAAACCATCCATTTAGGACTGGTTTTATACCAGGACCACCTATTTATGGTGACATTGGAGGTGGTTGATTATCGTTTTACCAGCATTATAGAATTGGCTCTGTTGCCAATTTCCCAGCCAACGCCTATACACGTGTACCCAATGATCCATCTTGACTTGCGACAAATCCGAGGGTCAATCTGATCTGATCAATACTCGTCTAAACAATACACATTGCTTCGACATCTTCGACAAGAACACCTTCAATTGTATCTTCACGATGGAATTTCAAGAAACATGTGCTAGACAGCTAGACCTCCATCGGCGCGGGCTTAATCCTAAACCCTCAAGTTTTCCCTAGATCAACATCGCCAATCAGACTTGTTTGAAGCTTTGAAACCATGGTCTGCACTAATTTATGCCATCTTAATGGCATCTTTGATAAAATTCCACCCATATCTACCACAGTTATGGCCATTTATTAGGATTATATAACTGGTTAATTCTATGGGATTATACATTCCATAAGTGGGGTCATTTCAGTACTTATCACTGGCATTGCCATGGCAATGCACCATCCCAAGGTCTGATGACTTCGCCAAGTCGCTCAGCGACCACCTCGCCCGAGACGTTTTGGCAGGTCACTGCAACACTGGCCTCGCCGCCTAAAAAAAACGGCGGAAGGTGGGGTGCAAATCATCACCATTGGGGAACACGAACAGTGTAACATGATTTTGACAATCTGCTGAAAGCTGCTGAACATGATTCTGGTACATGTTGCCAACTCGGACATGGATCAATTGGGATGATCCTCATTACAAAATTCCTGGTGAGTTCATGGATACACTATTCGGTCGTTGTGAGGTTGCTGGAAAAGCTGAGACCTATTCGAAATTGCACCTAAGGACCAGTCACCAAGCCAAGCTTGTGTGGATGAATATCGTATCACAAGAATTTAATTGCATTCATAAATGTTCATTGTCATTGGGTATAAAAATACCCCAGTAAATACAAATCTTCCCGAATTGAGTAGGCTTCAAAGCTCTCCGTCACTGGTTGGTTAAGAGGGATTCCCAGTTCATGGATTATGAAAATCTCCAGTACAACCCCCGAACAAATCATCAACCAGCACTCAAATGGGTTTGTCTAAAATTGGGACTTCCCATGACTTATCCCAATGGATTGCATTTTTTACAAGAGAGCATGCCGATGATAACCATGGAATTTGTGTGTTTCCCCTAACCCTTTTGGGACAAACCCAAATCTCATATCAACTGGGTTACATTACCATTAATATTCCATTAATATGAGCATAAGATAACTCCATATATTTGGTGGTTAAGTGCACTATGGTTGGTACCTTAGTTGCCATTAGGTTGGTACCCATAGGCGAACTCGGATTGTGTTGCGTGAAATATCCATTCAACACTAATAAACATTGTTGATTGTCACCAGCTATATCCCATATATTCAAAATATACCCAAAATCAAATACACATATTCATATATATATTCCTCAATCATATCCATTGGTCCAGTCATGTGGTAAACCCAATAATAAACCATCCCCAAAAATATCCAAAAAACATCAAAAAGGAGTGTTATAAGCCATCCCCTTCAACGGTAGGCCCAGCGACAACGAAGGATCTCCACTTGGATCACGCGCACGTGCTCGCCCAGAAGCGCCACTTTGAAACGAAACGGGGGATAGCATTCCTCGCTGTCCCGGGAGCTTGGCAGTATCAACCAGACAAAAGCTGATGTTTAACTGTTTAAAATGCTAAATGGTGTTCCCCAAGAGAACAGCAGGGATGAAAGAAGCAGAACGTAGAACATGGGAATTCGGTACGAAGAAACTGGAACAACAATTGGATTCAGTCAGCAAAACTATAGACATGGATAAAAGGAGACTACAGCAAGAATGGAAGAAAACAAGACATCAAAGCACCCAGATTCATCGCTGGCACGGCAGAGTTGATTCTCAATCAGGTAGACGCACCAGTCACCTGAACAGCTGGTGGAGCCAAGAACCGGGTAACCAGCAACGAACCCGAAGCTGGTGGAGCTTCACCATGCTTCACCAGTCCACTACTTGAGGCTAGGGGCCAAACAGTCGAAATCTTGGTTCATTGATCAACCAGCCCAAGCATGGGGAGAGATGAAAACCAAACAGAAGCTGCTGGGCTGGCTTAAGGTGAAATGATTCTGAGTGGCGAACGGGTGGACAGCCAGAACCCTTGGCTCTGTGGTGCCATAGCCATTGGTATCCCATGTGTAACCATACCCATTACACAATTAGCCTTACATAGCCATTTCTGGTTCATGGCTTCATTCCCATACTAGTAAACAATATTAGTCAGTTGTGATCGTCATCCAAACAAACCGGAAAAGGAACCACGATTCGAAGCATGTTTAAACAACACTAAACAGCATAAAACAAAAAATAGGTGAAAATAGTGTTTCACGCTTTGCAGGCACCTCCCATCCAAAAGTGAAAGTACTCACTGTCCTCCGTCTTGTCCATGTGGTACATGCCATAGAGGCAGTCCCCAGGATTTAAGCCCGGGGGTGGTCTTCCAGAAGATGTGGGCCGGCGGCTATCGGGCTCCAGAGGGAGAAAGGCGAACTTGGAATAGGTCGGTCCCTGGGGCTGGGAATGGCTCAAAAATGAGGTACCAACTCACCATTTTTATGGTCTTTTCCAATGGTGAAACATAGTCAACCGGTTCGGAGTATCCCAAGTGACAGGCTTCCGCCACCAACAGTTTCAACTGAGCCACTGGGAATCTCACGTAGTACTCAGGGCCAGGGCCCTCATCCAGTTCGCCCACCCAGCTGGGACTCTCCTGGTCCGTGTGGAAACTGTAGACCGGTACCTGACTCGGAAGCGGGGCCATGGAAAAAAAAAATATGGCCACAAGCTGGTGCCCCCTTATAGCTACGCTGGCTACAACAGGTGTTTTCCTTGAGATTACCAAGTTGAACTGTCAGTTGGTGTATAAAGCCACCTGACTATGGTTATCATATGATTATATATATTAATATATATATAATATATACTATACTATACTATACTATAATATAATATAATATAATATAATATAATATCATATCATATCATATCATATATGATGATATGATATGATATGATATAAAATAAGAAAGTATAATATAATATACATAATATAAAAAAAATACAATACATTACATTACATTATATCTATATATATATCCTCAATAAACCTTAGTTAACCTAGCTATAAAACCAACTCTGTTAACTATGAGGCACCTTGCAGCTATGAAACATCACCATGATCCCCATGGTCCATGGGGGGAACCAAGTGGCAGAAGCCTCCACGATAACGCCACCTGCAGGCCGGCAACTGCGGTGTGAAGAGATGATGCTAGTGACGTTAGGCATATTGATTATTTATAATATATATATATTGTGAACAAATTGATCCTTGTTCTGGATTATCCCTTTTGTCTGTAGTACCAGTAATGCTGATATCGCCGGGCAATCTCAGTGCATGGCATGCGGACAGCGTTATTATTTTCCTCGCGCAGGACTTGAGCCAATATCATTGGCGGTCCATGCATGACTGTACACATGTTCATCATGTGCAGCTACACTGTTACCTCGTTCCCCTTCGCACCCCCCATGCCTATGGCATCTTCGAACCATAGGCACGAGAGTGGGAACTTTGAATTAGATTCTTCTGCTACTCGAATTACGCCTATGTACATAAAACATGCCATTCGGCTCCCCCTTCCCCACATACCCGTCGGGAATAATGGTTCAGGGTTCGCCTACTCCTTGGCTGTCGATGCATCGACGCTTCATCAAGCTGTACAACGCGAATTATTGCTAGCTAACATCTACTTTTCTACGTTGGCTAAGCATGCCACTCACCCGTCGGGAGAAATGGATCGCCTCGCTACCAAAGATTTACAATGCTAACTAACGAATTCACGTGCACAATGCAGAATCTCGTGCAGATTGGGAATATCAAAAGTCTTGAACCTAAGCGAATTAGTCTAATGCCTCGCTCAGTGTCCACTCAGTTGGTCTTTTCCTGATCATCTGTTCATAAAGACGGTAAACATCTTGTAGCCCAGTGATCATTTTGACGGATCGATGCAATTGGTTTACTGCTCACGGCGGACTTTCTTCCATTGAGGTGCTGTTGGAGTTCTCTCCCATCCAGCCGCACGTTTCGGAGCAGCTTTCGGCGATGAAGGCTTTGCAGGCGGTGCCTTTGATGGTTCATGGGATTTCGGCATAGCCTTGCCCTTTGGTGCACTAGCCGATGAGGATGATGCTGAACCAGTGCCTTCAGGTGTCTGTGAAGGTTGCGCAGTTGGTTTAGCAAACTTAGAAGCTGCAGTATGTCTAACCGCTTTGAATACTTCACTCACCACTTCGTCGCCAAGGGTTGGAGCCATCTTCGTTTTCATCTCGGTCTTTCCCCTCTGCGCCTCGGCCTCGGCCAGCTGAATAGCATAAGCCATCTTGCTGACAAAGTTTTGAGGTAAAGGAATGCCACGTTGTTGGGCGGCAAAGAGCAGTTCTACTCTCTGTTCTTTCTCCCTCAGGCTCAGATATACCGAGAAAGCTGGGAGTTCGATGCAGTTGGGGAAGCCGTGGCTCCCGGAGCGAAAGAAGGTGTATGACTCGTGCTCCGGAAAGGTTCCTTTGAGCAGTCGTCGAAGGAAGTTGCTGATGGTTACTCGCATCTCCTGTTTCCCTTGGGCATCAGCCTGCATTCGGTTCATTGGCATGAGAAAGCCTAATGACTCAGGAGTGTACCCAGCGCGTACCAGAAATTCCATCATCTTCTCATAGATCTCTAAAGTCTTGATGACAGGCATCATCATGTTTCTTGGTCGCCCTGAGTATAACTTCTCTCCTTCTGACCATGAATTCCTCTTCCCTTTCTGCTGAAAGAGTTCATCCAATTCCAGCTCCGTCGGTCGCTTGAGGTTGCCATCCTGGTCTTCTCCTGTATAAGGACAGAAGTCGTCCAGGTCCAGCCGGACTCGCTTGGTTTCCGTCATCATCTCATAGTACTCCTCTGGGGTCAGAGTGACTCTCTGTTTGTAGTAGAGCCTGAACATTGTGATGATCTTTGACATGACGGCATTGTCATACAAGTGAGCCGCGGCCTCGGAGACATCATTGTTGATAAGTCCGTCTTCTGGCATACCCTTGCTGCCGCTCTCGAGGTTCTTGGTCCATGCTGGAAGTTTGGAAGAGGATTCATCTTCAGGTTCGACTTCCATTTCATCGTCGTCTTCTTCAACGATTTCGTCGTCTTCCTGTTGGGCTTCCTCCTCCTGATCCATTTCCTCATCATCGCCTTCGTTGTAGTCGACCTCGTCAGGATTGAAGCCATAGTCGTTGGATTCGGATACGTTTTCTTGTGCTTGATGGACCGTATCCTTGAACAACGATTCTTCTTGTCGACGAACTTCTTCATCGATTTCTTTCTTCGTGGCCTCATCTTCATCGTCTTCAGGAGCTTGTAGCCGATAGGGACGGATTCCACAACTTTCAAGTTCCGTCCAGCAAACTAGACACACTGCTAGTTTTGTCGGCGTCTCATTGAGACAGTGAGGACAATGGCGGCAACCTGATGTTTGCACCCTTTTGCGTTCGACTATGTAGTCAATCAGCTTGATGCGGGCCAGGTATTGCTCTTGTCCGCCAGGCTCGATGAGGTTGTTCTTGAATTGGTTGACGATGTTCATGGCATCCATGGCGGTTTCGTCAAACGGTTGATCTTCGGCGTCGATGCACTGACTTGCAACCCTCAAGATGGACTCCTTGGTGGCTACCTCAAGGCCGGTGTCTACTTAGCCTAATTGGTGAAACTTAATTTTACTTAGCTTACTTAAGACCTACTTATGTTAACTTAAAAGTGCGATAAAAAATAATGATAGGATAAGTAGATTGTAAGTAATTACAAGTAACTTATAAGTAGATGCAAGTAGAAATAAGTAGAAATAGGTAGAAATAAGTAGAAATGGTTTGAAAACATTAGTTTTTTGCATTTTTCGGATTTGCGCAGGCAAACGTATAAATTTGCAAGTTTGGATGCAGAATCGTGAAAAATCACCTTGTTATTTGAAAAGCGGCCAAACCGCTCATGAGCGGCCATACCGCTTTTCTCTTCCTCTTTTTGGTTCAGCTAATGCTTATGCATGAGCCATCTCTCGTATGGTGCTTCGGTGTCATCCATCCATTGCCAGTGCTTCAAGGACTTCGTCCAAAACTTGGCTGGCTTCTTGAATCAGCTCCGGGGCCATATTTTGAAAGACCGGGAGCAGGGCCCCCAATGTCTTCAGCTCTTTGTGCAAAAAGTGTTTCTGGTAGCAGTTCAAATGGAAAATATTTGACCGATATTCTACCAATATTCTGGCAAATTGTATAGAAAGCATAAAGATAGCACATAGATAGTCTATAGATAGCACGGTCATGAAAACTATACCCCAGCCATCAAAAGCCATCGATAGCAATAGATAGCAATAGATAGCACGGATCGTATGCTATCTATTGCTATCGATGGCTTTTGATGGCTGGGGTATAGTTTTCATGACCGTGCTATCTATAGACTATCTATGTGCTATCTATGGTATCTATGTGCTATCTACGTGCTATCTATGTGCTATCTATGTGCTATCTTGTGCTATCTGTAAATTATCTGAAGTCCACCTACCAAGTAGCTACATTGTATCGGGAGAATATTGAAAGAGAGTTTTTGAAAATTCGGGTAGAACCAATTAAATAATATATCGAAGCGGACACACCGCCACAGAGTCAAAAGGTGAGCGGGCAAACCGCTGCAACCGAGACTGAACAGCTGCAAATTTACATGTTCGCATGTTGACATCGCTGCTGAAGGCCAGCTGTATTGACATCGGCATTGAACCCAATTCCAATTCAAAGCGGACACGCCGCTGAGAACATGAGAAACATTTCGGAAGATAAACAATCAAATGGCCAACTGAAAGCGGCCACACCGCTACAAACCTCAGAAAAGCAACATCCACCAGACTCAGGAAAACCATTTGTTTGAAACACATCACAAAACCTTCGCTAAATATCACAAAAAGCAGCAACTTAGAAAAATATTACAAAAAATAAAAAAATAATGCACTCACAAAAAGAACAGCAAAAATCAATGAAATAGTGTTAAGTAGGTTAAGTAAAAATAAGTAGAAATAAGTAGATCTAAGTGGAAACAAATTACTTAGACTAAAATCCTAAATTGTACAGGAAAAAATATGCCTTACTTATTTCTACTTAGTAAGTGGGCTAGCCAGACACAAGTTACTTCAACTTTCTTTAACAATGCTAACTAGCAAACATCTACCTAGTCTACTTGTAGCCTACTTATCCTAGTTAAAACCATGTTAAATCCTACTTAAAGTCAACTTATAAGTAGGCTAACTGTTACCGGCCTTGAGGTACCGTTCTTGATTTGATAGTTCCAGACCGGACTACCTGGTCGTCGCCCGACGGGACGAACAACCGGAGCCATGTCTTATTGTTTTGGTCCTTTGGGTCCTGAATCCATCCTCCTTTGATTGCCGAGAACGGGATGATCTTTGGTGAGACGATCTGTCCCGAGTCAGTCAGTCGACCGCCATATTCCACCATCAAGGTCTCGGTCGGGACGAACAAGCAAATGTAGTCCCCTCTTCGCGTATCAACGCTCTTCGTGATGGTCCATGATCTGTGATCCCATGGCACATACGGGTTGAAGAACGTGAATATCCGATGACCTTCTCCAAGACCTCCTGGAATTAATCCCTGCCTCCAAATGCTTCGAAGGTTGGTCTTCTTGGTGATGTGGAAACAAACCGGTAACGACAAAATAGTGTTGGGCGCGATTGGATGTGAAAGTAATGAGGACAGCAATGAGACGTCGTCCCTTGAAGATCCTTCTTTGTGCCCCGTAGGAGCACGGACCGCCACAGGGTAGAGCAGTAGACCTTCATCAGGAATGTTCGTGTCCGCATCGACTTTGTTGTCAATGCACGTCAGGCTGGTGCGCTCAATGTCCTTGTTGATACCAAATGCCAAGACTTGTTCACGAACGCGACGTCCATACCGGGCACAGTGGAACATGATCTTGAAGAGCAATGTCATGCGGTAGTTTGCCTCATCGACATTCCATGCATTCTGATCATTTGCTCTTCCTTTTGGAGCAAGGAATACATGTGGCCAGCGTGCGTACTCGTGCCTCCAGATGGACTCACATTTGAGCACCTCCTCGATGGGCACCCAGCCGGCGTCATCACATGACAGACTCTGTTGTTCTGATACCTTCCCCACGTTGTGCCGCAGGATCCTGTTTAGTGAT